TGAAATTGTGAACAAAAACAGAAAGAAATGTAATAATAAATGCTTTTATTTCACAACGTATATTTAAAAATACTTTTATTTCACATGATGGATCAACAAAATTATATGAATTTTAAAGCCGTCAAAAAAGAAATCCTGGACCCCTCTAACCACGTTCCTTTCCTTATAGAAACGGTTTTGTTACACCTACGAGAGCATCTCCATTTAATCTTCCCGTCGAACTTCATTTTACGACCATCACAATAATCACAATATTTCACCTTATCAAATATACCGGCGTCTTGAAAATATTTGATAGCCTCTTCTTCCGAAGACGGCAATTCCCACAATGTGACAACATCCATAATTCCAGTTGAAACAAAACAACACAATATTAACAAAAGAACACAATATAATACTAAACAACACAATAACTTAAACAATACTAAAGAACAACTAAACTAAAGAACAAGAAAAACTAAAGAACACAATAACTTGAGAAACGAGATTGGGTCGATAAGGGAGGTTATCTGAAACGAGATGGTTATCTGAAACGAGATTAGATAAGAAGGAAGGTTTCGACTCTACCCGCTAAGAGAGAAGTACCCTATAAACATTTCATAATAAAGAATTAAAATTAAAAAGGTGAAAGTTATAGAATAAAAAATGTAAATAGTATAAACTTTAAGTAAAATAAAGTAGATAGAGTGAACATTAAAGTAAAATAAAATTGGTAGAATAATAACAGTAACAGAGAACTAAGAAATAAATAATAATGGCAACAAAGTACATACTAATGGAACAAACATAAGAAATGAAAAATGGTTATCTTTTAATTATAATTTGATTTCTTATGTTACCTTATTTTGATTATGTTTGTTTCATCAGTCTGTACTTTGTTGCCATTTACTTCTTATTATTTACTTCTTAGTTGTCTGTTACTGTTATTATTCTACCTATTTTATTTTACTTTAATGTTAACTCTATCTACTTTATTTTACTTTAAGTTTATTCTACTTCCCTATTTTAGTCTACAACTTTCACCTTTTTAATTTTGATTCTTTATTATTCAATGTTTATCGTTTCTCATACCTATAGGTTTTCTTAGCCATGATGAAGGTCTGAACTTCGGGCCAAAATGTCGGCAAACATAAAAATAAATATAATTATTTATTTTTACTGATCACCCCAACCATCCATCTCTTCAATTATTCTCTACAGTCAACCATCAATCCACAGTATTAATTTATAATGATTATGAAAGGTTTAATATTTTATTTATAAAATTACTCTTTTGGTGAACTTTATCTTCCACTTATTATTATTATTACCATTTACATGCTTTGCTTTCTCAGATATCTAGAATATCTACCTCCTGGAAGAAAATCTTTCAAGGGAATTCAGACGGAAGATTATATTTATTTAAAAATTTTCTTACTATCCTGTACGTATCAAGCAGAAATGCTTTTTGAGCTGTTTTTAGATATGTTCAGTTAAGTCCAAGATCTTTGGTACTCTCTATTGTATTTTTCAATCCTAGACCATTCAAAAATATTATTATGGGCATAATTTTTCATTTTTCAAAATGGTATAGCGTTTTTATCTCTAAGGCTAGTTTCTGGTATTTTCGAATTTTTTAGACTGGTGGTTAAAAGGTTGCTATCACTGGGTACTGTTATAATAGCAGTTTTATTTGTGTTGTGTGTAACAAAAATATTGGACGGTTATGCAATATCTTATGGTCTGTTATTATATTTTCATCCTAATAAACTTTTACACTGCTGTCTTCTGTAGGTTTTTCTGGCATATATCGTTATTAGGGTATTTCATTGCCCGGTAAATTTAAAGTTCTGCATATACTTTGTTGATATATTTTGGCAACATTATTATGTCTTATCAAGTATCCTGTCCCAGCCATAGTCTCACATCTGTTGGTTACATGCAGGAAAGACTCATGTGTCTTAGAACAAAGGCGACATTTATCTGTGACCAATGTTTCTTTCAATATATGTTTTCTATATGCCCTTATGTTGCATATAGTTGCAATAACTTGGTCCTGGATTGCTAAACAAAGTCCTTCGGTATCGCCACAGATTTGTCCTATCTTTAACCATTCTACTAAGAAATCAATATCAATCTCAGTATTGTGTAATTGATGGTATAATTATAATTCTTCGTATTTATCAACATTTTGGGGTTTTCCCTAATCCTCAAGATCAACTTACTTATCACCTTCTGACATCTTTATAAATAATACTTACTGTACTAATTTAGGATAAAACTTAGTATAGTTACTTACCTCAGTTAAATGAATTTTAAATAAAAAGCAAAGCAAAATATTTATGTATAAATATGGTTTAGCAAAATGACCCTGAGGATGAGTTATGACCTCAAAATGTTGATCGTATACAAATTATTAACAGTTAATAAATGGAAGGTAAAATTCACCATATGAAGAATTTTATATACATACCGGATAAAATTTTATATCAGATTTTGTTTTATTTTCAAGTTGTTCAGTTTTAAAACTTAAAATAGTAGTCTGCTACATATTTCAATTACTCCTCTATTGCTTGCAGTGTACAACAGTTTCCTGGAAGAATCCTTATGACATAGGATGAAGTGTTGGCACACATTATTGCGCTTTTTCTGATCACACTATCAACCATTATCTCCATATTAAATATTAATATGAATTCTTTTATATAGAATTTTTTTTTTCCCTCTACTCCTCCAATATTAAATGAAAAAAAGAGGACAGTAACCTATAAAATTAAATTACATATTTCAATTACACCTCTATTGCTTGCAGTGTACAACAGTTTCCTGGAAGAATCCTTATGACATAGGATGAAGTGTTGGCACACATTATTGCGCTTTTTCTGATCACACTATCAACCATTATTTCCTTAAATGAAGTAGATTGACTTTTTGAAACCTTAATATAATTTCAAACTTCATTGTTTAAAGTTGCATCCGAATGTGCAATATCTTTTATAAAATAATAGATATTGATTAACAAATATAATTTAATTTTTAAAAAATAGATGAAGAGAATTATCCTATCAATCTTATTAGCTTAATGAGAATGTACTTGCTTATCTATTTAAATAGATAGATTGTAGATTAGTGGATTGTTAGTGCGAATGAGGTCTAAAAAGACAGAAATTAGTTGTAGTAGTCGACTGTCTTCAACCCGAACGAAACCCAAGATTCTTTCCTATATTGACATGCACCAATGTACACGAGATGTACTTCCAAGAGCTGGAATGTGTCATAAAAGGCATTTTGTATCCCATGACAGGTTTTAAACACTTTCTAGAAAATATTACAAAATTTTGAAATGTTTGGAAATCACACTGATTAGTCTGATGGATATGAAATTATTTAACTTTAACTTTTAAGTCTTTGCAGATTTATATGGTAAAACAATGATTGATCATGTAGAAGAATCAGCCTTGTATACAATTCAATATTAGAATTCTGCTTTAATGCTTGTAATTATATTATTCATACCTTATCAGTTTCACCCTCAGAACAGACATTTCCTGCGATATGACCAAATTTTTTCTTTTAAGTTTACCAATTTAAATGTTCTACTCCCTAAAACCGAAAAAAACAACAATAAGTTTTTGGAACTATAATATGGTAGGTTATATGAGCTGATTTAGTTTTTGATCTTATATAATTAAATTACTGAAGAGAAGGATTGTTAGGGTGATCAGTCAAAATAAAAAATAGCAAAAATAAATAATAATATTTATTTTTGCTATTTTTTATTTTGACTGATCACCCCAACAATCCTTCTCTTCAATTATTCACAACAGTCAACCATCAACCCACAATAATTAAATTATATGTAATATGCAAGATAATCATTTCATATTACTGTTGATATATTATTAATTTTAAGTTCTCATGTGCTAATAATTAATGACAAATTAAAAAAAATTATATACGTTAAATAGACCATGTAATTATACTTGAAGGAAGAAAAAACAACACCCTTCTTTTCTTACTTCAAAAAATTATATATATAGACTACAATTGTGTGATTTTTTTTAATTAGTCAACAATGTTTTTAAAATGTGAAATTTCGTGCTCCTACCAACCTTGTAATAGCAATAAAAAAAACTATTAGCTAAGGGGAATTCAGGAGGAAGCAGCAATATTTTATTTAATCTTTAAAGTTTTCATGGTTGGTTAAGCATCGAACTGTGAAATATTTATTTTCTGGGCAACAGCACCGAGCTTATGGCATACTATTGGACCTAAGTGGAAGTTATGTACCTAAATCAAACATAGTCAGTCTTGTAATTTCAAACATGTTTGTAATAAACTAATGCATTGCATTTAGTTTTTGTATATAAAAAGTGTTTCTGATTTTGAAATCATATCAAAATGGTAAATTAAATTTTAATCCAATTCAAACAGTAAAAGTTTGATAAAAAAAACAATGCAATTTTATTTAAGATATTTAAATAAATGACAAATTAAACAGTATCAATTAAAAATATGAAAAAACACAATTATAAAAAAAATATATCCTGATGATGGATTAAACGTTGATAAAATATAATTGATAAAACGAAAGACATTTTTTCAAGAAAAAGCTCACAAATGTGTTAATATAAATAATTATTCCAATAAAAAGTAAAAACTCTCAGTTACTTTCTGCAATTTCTTTTTAAGTATAATTTTTCAAATTTCTTTTAACATTTGCTTAAATATCGCCTTATTCCCTAAATAAAAAAAGTATCTCCCTGCTGCTAATGCTAATTTTTTCCTCTTCCATCTATGGTTGTTTAAGATGTTAATCTTTTTTTTTTTTTTAGAATAAGCTAATAAATATATATTTTTCTTTACATGATATTGAATTATTTAAATCTATTTATTTATTTGTTTCTGTTATTTTAAAGTAATTTACTTAGCTAAGTTTTTATTTAATTGGACCAATGGATTATTTATAAAAGTTTACTTCAAAATACAAAATAATTGCACTTCATTATTGTTTGTTTCAGGAAAACTATGAATCGAAAGATAGTTACGAGGTAGAGAGTTGGGATGTACGGCAAAACGATAAACATTGGGATAGAAATAAGGATAGGCATCAAGATCAGTATAGGTAATAAATTTATATCTGCCTGTTTGTATTGAAAAATCAATTTATTGTTTTAAAGAAATATTAATAAAATTTTTTATCAGAATATATATACTTATAAAATATATAAACCGAAAAATGATGAATAATAATGCAGTTTATATACATTTATTTATACTATTTGGCATTGTTTTAAAAGTTCTTGATTATAATTTTAATTGTTTTCATCAAGTTTTAATGCAAAAAATTGTATAATTACCAAGTACTGTTAATATAAAGGTTTAAATCGGAGTGAAGGCTGTTGGAACTTGGTATTTTAATCCCAAACTATTGAGAATTGAGTCGAACAAAATTTCCTATTAGTTTTACTTGTTCCTAATTGCTTAAGAGAGTTGATTTATTTTTAGATTTGATAGAAATCATGAGGAAAGAAGCCCAGAATATAGAGATAGAGGCACCCCAGAGTATGACTCTCGTGGTCGAGATGGCAATTATTATAGACGAGATTGGGACAGTTGGCAGGGAAGTAGTAGTAGGAAAAGGCCTCATACTCCACCACCGCCACCTCAGATTCGACCATCACCTCCACCTCCAGAAAATCATCAACCGCAAGGTTTGTTATATTCTTTTCAAATTAATAGATATTGATAGTTTTGTAAATTTTCAACAACATTTGCTTATTGAAGAATCCTATGTATAAAATAAACTAGGTTTACTGGATATGTTTTATCCAGTTGTATACAAGACATGTTTCATAGTGTTACGTTATTAATGTCACTCAAGTTACATCATAAATAATTGTCATATTGACTACTAATATAAGTCCGAATTACTTGAAAAAATACCATGAACTAATATTAATATGCTACAAAAATGGAAAGAATTAAAATGACAAATAAAATGCTGCATATGTATCTTGGTAAGAATAAAATGAAATGAAATAAGGAATCCTTATAACTTGGAATGGTTTGTTCACATTGGACTGATACCCTGAATTTACAATACAGGATACAGGATAATTATGAATATATTTAACCAGTATAATAATGCATCGTTACTCTTGTGTGGTATTATATAGGTAATAAAAGATAAAAAATCAGTTTTGCTAGTTAAATTAAAAAAGTTAAATAAATTCATTTATTTAAATCACTGATAAGTACTTTCGCTTTGTTTCGATATTATTTTTTAGTTTCTTTGTTGAATTATTAGTTTATTACTTACTATCTCAAATTTTAGGTATTAATTGAGCCAAAAGTATTTATTTTTTCTATTTAAGCAGATGAAAGTGGTACTGCCAGTGGAGGAGGCTTTGAATCGATGTCTCCTGGAGATGTTGAATCTATTTCTGAAGGAGACATCCCTGAAACTGAGAATTGTATTTCACCTAGTCATGGTGGAGGTGATGAGGGTACTGAACCATTTGAACCAATTCTTAGTGATGAAGAAATAGCTGATGATGGAGGAGAACATCAGGTAAAAACATAAAAAGTTAAAATATATTTCTCTATTTATAAAATTTTTTAAAATTTCATATTACCGGAAATTGTTTTCAGGAAATGGATTATGATTTCGGAGAATATTCAGAAGATCCACTGAAATCATTCAACCCTTACAACAATGAAGTACAACCTTTGCAGGTAATTTTGAAGGTTTATAGAGTTGTTCTTTGTTCAATTCTGTAATAAAAAATAAAAATATATTTATATTTAATACTGTTTATTTATTATTTTAAGTGATATTAAAAGGTCTGATAAATGTTTAAATTTTACAAAGAGTATATATAGAAAACAATTAATATTAAAAGAAAGATTGATGTCATTTTTCAGCATAATCTGAAACACACCCTTTTAAATTTTCTAGTATTTTAAATAATTTTTTATACTGAAATTATGTGTGTTGCAGTTTTGGCTAAGAAATAATGAGATAAGTATTTGTTTATTTTTTTTTGTCTTTGCCTGTTAGACTGTATGGGATTGTCTTCCAAGAGCCATGGGGTTAGAGTGGGGGATTAATACCAGAGTTGAAAGCTTCTCTTCCTCCCCCGCAGGTCACCGGGACGCGAATTCGTAGTTATTTTTATCTAATTATCTTTGATCCGGATTGCCGGGAACGCGCGGTGCTGAGCACACACATTAGCCCACTCAGCCACCCGTTCCCAAGAAGGATGAAAATAAATATAGAAAGATATGCGAATGATTCTGCGATTCTAGGATGATCTTGTCAATCATAAATTGATCATTTTTTAAAAATATTTCACCCAGTTGATTCATAATACTCAGATAATAATTACAGTTGTTTTTTTTTATAAAATTTAAAAGATAATTTAATTTTTTTGTTTTTAAATTATTTATAAATTATAAATTACGTGGTACACTCTTCTATTAAAGTTTAGAGATGCCCCTAGGCTAGATGAATAAAAATGTTTTTATTCATTCATAACAAATAGGAAGTGAATTTATGTAGCTCTTGGTCTAAAAGCTATTCAACTTTTACTTGAATATTCAACTGTATATTCAACTTATAATCATAAACAGGATTTCAATGGTTTTTATTTCATGGGATTTACTCTTTAAAAAATTTTTTCTATAACTATATTAGTTATTTGTCAGCACATAATAACTAAGGCAAACTTAATTCATCCATGGACCTTTATTTTCAGGATTTAGAAGATCCTGCTTTAACTCCATTTGAATTTCAAATTAGAAATGGTGTCAAAGAGACCAGAGAAAATGCAAAACCTCTTTTATCTCTCCTTAAGTGCACGACTGAGGAATGTAAAGAAACATGGGTAGAAAATGCTGAGCAAGTTGTTAATATTTTATCAAAAACTTTACCTTATGTTGAAGATTCATCTAGAGACGGTAAAGAATCTTTTTTTTTATATAGAATTTTTTAAAATATATTTAATTAGTACCAATTTTTGAACTATTGATTATTATATAATCAAATATTAATTTATTTTATTCAATAAAAAACCTCTAAGTTTTTTCTATTATCCATTATTTATTTCAAGTTAATAAATTAGACCTTAAGTAATTAAATAAGTATATATTTTTCAGATGTGTTCGATAGATTAATGCAATGGACTATCTTTGGTTTAGACTTCAATCAAGCCTTATCACAACCACAACCCGCTTTTAAGCTGCGACACATAAAAGTTGGTGTACGTTTAGTTGAGTGTCTCGCGCAATGTGGAAAAGATGCGTGTATCAGGGTTGTCAAGGAAGCAAAAGCACAAGAGCGTCTTTTAGATCTTCATCAAGAAGAACATATGGCCCTCTCAATAAAGTTGATGATTTTAAAGGCTTTAGATGCCACTCTTCGTTTTGATAGTTCTATAGAACAATTTATCCATGTAGGTAAAGCTGAATATGTTAGTGGCTATCAACGCCTAATCAAATTATTGGAAGAGAAGAATCATGCCCGAGTCAAATACTCTATCTGTTCAATAATTTGTAAACTGCATTTATATGAACAATTAATTAAACTTCATTCAAGTGTTACCAATATTAATAGGGAAAATGCTGAAAATGAAGAAATTTATGAAATTATTTCTAATATCCTAGATAATATTTTACAAGTCTTTGTTGATGCTCCAAGAATGATTTCTCAACCAAAAAGATTTCTTCCAGTTTCAGCTCAGTTTGAGATCAGTAATAGTTTTCCGGATCCTTATAAAGCAATTTATACATACTTCAGGTTTTCAAATATTTTAGATGACTTCATCAGTCTTTTAAGCCACCCAACTGCATCATGTCTTCCCTCAATACTTGCACCAGTAAATGGAATTATTTCAGAACTTTTAGAATCATGTGATGGACTAAAGTTTTTATTATCCACCTCTAATGTAAATAAGTTAATTAGATTGTTGCTTGGCAGTCCATCTAGTTCAGAAAATGAAATTGGTCGTCCAGGTGTCAATCCCACACTAGGCTTACATGCAGCTTACAGATTACAAGCGCTTTCTTATCTTGATGCTTTAAGTTCTCTACCGAATTCATCTGATCCTGACAAGCCAGAAATATTGGACATTTTGCATGGAATATTTAGCCTTACTTTGTCAAATGTTGGCAACATTGGAAAAGCATCAGTCGTTCATGTGCTTAGTCAAGGAAATAACATGGATATACTTTTGGACCTCTTAAAGCATAAATCTGCAACACGTAAAAGATCACCAAGCCGTGGTTATATATGTGACCTCATTATTCTCACTGTCAAGCTTTCAACTAATATGCCATTCTTCCAAAATTATGCTGAAAATCTACTTTCCTTGATTCCTGATATCTCAGAGTTGTCAGAAATACAAATTTGGCTTAAGCCTTTAGAAAATCAGAATACTTTTTCATATGACAATATTGCGCCACTTTGTGAAAATTTAAAAAACAATGTTACTGATTGTACATCTCTTCCAGGAGACCTTATAATGGCTGTAAGGTTGCTTCGACACCTCGCTATACCAAGATATGATAAAGATTTGTCCCCATTACCTTCAAATCAAGAATATATGGAGTTGAAATATAAATGTGTTATTCTCCAATTGTATTCTCTTGATGGTATTACTCATTTGAGTTCTATACTCCAGAAACTCTCGGAATATTATGAACAGCCTGCCTTACATTCAGCAAGCCTAATTGGTCGTCAAGGTCTAATGTTATTATCATTCATCCATCCTGCTGTTCAGTTACTTAGAAGAATGTTGACCTATGTAATTAAAGTAAGAAATACAGATTTCAAAGATTTGACTGCAGTTCCAATTTTATTGAACATTTATAACTTAATGCAAGCAATACCAATTAATGCTCAAGCACATACTGATGCTCTGAGGGTGTGTCGAGAAATAGTAGAAACATTATTGGCTTATACACAGCCTATTTGTGCAGATACAACTGCTGAAGCGGACGCACTAAACAAAAGCCTTTGGACTTCAATGATTACGGAAGTTATTAAATTTTGTTCCAATACTCCTTACAACTTTATTTCTGGTCTGATGGTGTTTTCAGAGCTTTTGCCTCTTCCACTTCCATTACAAACTCGTAAACCATTATCTGATGAAGAAGCATCAAGATTTGTCAGTGCCAGAAAGATGTGGTCTGCACATTTACATTCATTAAATCCTGCTATCGAAAGTATGATTGCAACTATAGGAGTCAGTAATTACCAACCTTTACTTCAGTTACTAAGGCGTGTATGTGTACAACTTGCGGATCTTGCTGCTCCATCGTCATTAATGGTGGTTCGTACTTTACTCGACTCTATCTACTCACAGATGCAAAATGACAACAAGACCTCTCAGCTTGCCCGCTTACTCAATTTCCTAGCTTGTCTAATGACTCATGGACCCGTAAAATCAGCTTTCCTAAGCCTCATGAAAGGCAAGGAAGAAAAATATGCCAATCTTCTGAGTACTTTAATTGACATATTTAAAAGTCCATCAGAAGGTTCCATTCACTGTCAAGAATATGTTACATCAATCATTCAATCACTTTGTGATAGCGAAATTACTCTGGTTCCTCCAACTAATTTATCACCTAGTATCACAAATGAGATTTTCTTAGCCAATGCACTACCTTCAAAAGAGATGCTAGTCACATTATGTAATGCAATGCTGGAACATATCACATCGAACGAACATGCTTTGGCAACAGTGCTGCCTGTCATGAGAACTCTAGTACTCCTTACTGAGCATGATTATACCTATTATCACTTAAAGATGTAAGTAATGTTAATAAGAGCTTATTTATTGTTATAATAATTTATCTTGCCTTATTTTTAATACTGGATTTAACTCATTCAGGTGTTTGGACCGTCACTCTGATTGTATACTTTTAGTGCTCGGGAAAGTTAACAAGGAATGGTCCAAAGAGAGTCATGAATGTCTTGCAACCCTTGAGGCTACTTTGGAATTGTGTCGTGGGGTTTACAGTAGCCGTGGAAGGAGTCATCTTTCTGAACTTGTCCTTTGGAAAAAAGATCATCCTTTGCACAGTATTGAAACTTCATTGAAGGTTGATTTATTTTAATTTACTATGACTTTTTTTTCTTTATCACTTATTAATTATTTACTAAACATTTTGTATACTCATTAATCTAATTTATATTTTCCCTTTAATTTTTGCAGAATAATGTGCTAGAAGATGAATCATTGGAGCCATTACTTGAAAATGTGTCTGCATTAATTAAATTGTTAGAAGAAGAAGATACTAAACATGATCATAAAGGTAGTGTACAATTTAAATATAGCTATTTGGTCTTTGAGGAGAGCGGGGTAGCTCTGTGGATGAGCACTGACTTCCAGAGCTCAAGGTCTTAGGTTCGAATCCGGCTAATGACTAGTAATTTTTCATCAGCCTTGAATCAACCCCAGGATTGGGAGACCCTCCTGGGGCCCAGCTCTATAAAGTGGTTATTCTTAATTAAATAATTAATTAAGAGGAAAATTGGTTGTTAAGCGTGATTTCGTCCCAATCATCTCCCTGCTGCACAAGCGTTGGCCTTTGAACAGTACTTCCTCACATAGTACTGAACTACTGAACCAAATACTCTTCGTGGGTTGTAGTGGTATAGGTTTTTAATTGGTCTTAGGTGGATCAGTTATTTAAAATTCATTGATATCATCATATAAATTTATTAAGAATATTTAGTTATTTTGTGTTATTATATGTTACAATTATCAAAACTTTAATTTAAAAAAAATAATGACTATCAGTGCTGTTTTTCACTAGTAATGGACACTATACACCAAATATTTCTAATGTATCTATAATAATAATAATAATAATAATAAGGCTTAGCGAACCCGAAGGTTCGATGCCGACACCACCAATCGCTTGTTACACACCTCCCTCCACCGTTCGCCGTCCAAACCCAGTCCCTTCAGATCAGCTTTAATGCAATCTTCCCACCTTCGCTTCGGTCTACCCCTCCGACGCTTACCATTCGGCACAGCAAATATTAACCTTTTAGGAATTCTCTCGTTACTAAGACCAACAACTTTACAAGCCCATTTGATTCGCCGCGATGAAATTACCTCAATTATATTACCCGGATATAGCTCACGCAATTCGGCGTTGTGTAACCGTCTGAACTCTCCGGTTAACTCATCCTTCTTCGGTCCGAATATTCTACGCAATACTTTATTTTCAAAAACCTTAAGACGCTGCTCATCCCTTAATGTAAGCGGCCAAGTTTCGCATCCATAAAGAACTGTAGGCAAGATAATTGTTTTATAGATTCTAATTTTTAAGTTTCGGGACAAGAGGCGCGAACTGAGTAGTTTTGTCACAGAAAAATAACAAGCATTCCCCGCCTTCAGTCTAACTTTAATCTCTTCTTCAATTTCGTTTTTTCTAGTTATCGTAGAACCTAAATACCTAAATTTATCTACCTGTTCAAACATATTACCATCTATATCGATATCACCAGTAGTATCGCCATTTTTGCAGCTAACCATATATTTTGTTTTATCCACGTTTATTTCGAGTCCTAGTTCTTTACCGGCTTTCATTAACGTTGTCGTATTTAGTTTTATAGTTTCAACGTCTTCGCTTAACAGTACCAGATCATCAGCATAGCCCAGCACGGATGTTGTCCCACCCAGATCCAACCCTTTTTCGGTACGCATTACCTCCCTAATGGCATGTTCTAATGCCAAATTGAACAGGACAGGCGAAAGAGAATCCCCCTGTTTTAAGCCCGAACGAACCTCAAATTTTTCGGACAAATTATTACCGATTCTAACTTTATTGACTGTCTCCGTCAAGCACATCCTGACTAGATTTACTAGTTTTTTTGGAATTCCCTGCTCGATTAGAATATTATACAGTTTCTGGCGGTCAATAGAATCGTAAGCCTTTTTAAAATCTATATACAGCTGGTGAACAATACCGTTATACTCCAATTTTTTCTCTAATATTTGCCGTAAAGAAAATATTTGATCAATAGTCGAACGATTCCGTCTAAATCCGCATTGGTAGTCTCCGATAATTTCCTCGGCGTATTCCGTGATTCGACTGGTTAAGATTACAGTGAATATTTTATAACATACCGGAAGGAGTGAAATTCCTCGATAGTTATTACAATCCGTCCTCGGACCCTTTTTGTGAATCGGAATAAGAATAGATTCTTTCCATTCTTCAGGTAATTTCTCGTTCACCCAGATCTTTTCAACCAACCGATGTATTTTAGAAACTCCAGCTTCCCCGCATGCCTTAATTAGTTCAGTAGGAATATTATCGATTCCCGCTGCTTTATATGATTTTAATTTACCGATAGCTACTTCAACTTCCTCTTTACTTGGTCCTTCTATCAACGGTTCAGCACTCTGGAACTCAGAAGGAGGACACAGATCATAATTTCCCGTATTTAAAATATTGTCAAAGTGCTCCTTAAACTTATTCAATATGTCAACCGGATCGGTCAGAATATTGTTATTATCATCCCTAATTCCAGACGTTACGGGCCCTACATATTTACGTGATCTGTTTATACCTTTGTACATGTCTCTTACGTTATTTTCGATTCTATTAGTTTCTATTTCAATTATTTTATTTTTAAGATACTCCCTTTTTTTATTTTTGAGCAATTTTGTCGTTTCGTTCTTTGAGATTCGGAAGTATTCCAGATTGTCTTCGCTAGGATTATTTAGAGCTTTTAATTTAGCGGCTTTCCTTTTTTCGCACATGTTTAAGCAATCTTCATCAAACCACGGTTTGTTATTCTTATTTTCCTTTTTTCCTAGACACGAGTTACCGACCGCTTTAATATTATCCCTGATCTCTACCCATAACTTGTCAATATCCTCGTGGTCCTCGTCAGGAAGCTCTAAAGCTTCAAACCTATTCTTAACATCTAGCTCGAATTGGTTTCTAATTGATGGATTTTTTAATTTTTCCAAATTAAAATTCTCAAAATCGAAACGGTTTTCTTTTCTCTTTTTTATATTAAGTTTTTGTCGAAGTTTCGCGATTACTAATTCATGATCCGACCCACATTCTGCTCCGCGATAAGACCGTACATTGATTATACTGCTTTGCCAGCTGTGTTGTATCAAGACATGATCGATTTGATTTCGTGTTTGCGAATCCGGCGATGTCCAAGTATATTTATGAATATCCTTACGTTTAAACGTCGTACTTTTAATTACCAGGTTTTTCGAGATGGCAAAGTTTATCAGACGGATCCCATTATCATTACTATATTCGTGCAAACTTTCTTTACCAATCGTCTGAATATAAACTTCTTCCCTTCCTACCTTTGCGTTCGCGTCACCTACAATTATTTTCATGTAGTTTCGCGGTAGTTTATCATAAACCCATTCGAGTTTATCGTAAAATTCACTTTTGACTTCATCGTCACTGTCTTCGGTCGGACAATGTATGTTTATTAATGCGATTTTAAACCAACGTCCCTGAAATGTCCCCGAAATTCTATCACTAAAGAATTGTACGTCCCTCAAAGCGGATAGTAATCTACTCCTAATTAGAAACCCGGTACCTAAACAATGATTCCCGCTTCCTCCGTACCAAATAGTGTACTTTCCTTCCCTCATCGAGCCCTCCCCTGGCCAGCGAACCTCTTGCAGAGCCACGACATCCAAATTGTACCCATTTACCTCATTCGCGACCGATTTTAGCCACCCTGCTGTGTTTAAACTCCTTACGTTCCACGTACCAATATTTAAATCCCTATATTTCAACTTGCGGCATGAATCCCCTAAAGCAGTCCCCACCCGGAGACCCGAACGGGGGACTAGTTTACCTCCGGATAATGAGCGTTTTACCTTAGGGAGATCCATGACTTTTTGTGGTGTTTGGTGAACTAAAGATATGTGAGTAGGGCGTTCAATCCTACGTCACACCCTCCAGCAAGTCTGGTGGGCCCCTACCTCCAGCAAGTCTGGAGGTCCCCTCCCTCCAGCAAGTCTGGAGGGCCCCTCTCATTGTTGGTCAGCGAGTCCATCGGACTTAGCCGGGAGGAACTTCCAAGGAATTTCCACCGACCATCCCCACATCCGCCACCCGTGGGACGCTCCCCATACGCGGTAATGAGCCCGCGCGAGGTTCTAATGTATCTACTTCTTGAAAATTGCTGGTAGCCAATATTAACTTTGGTCTCCTCTTTGTAAACTTATCCACCTCAAGCATTCAGTAGTATCAACAGAGTAAAAGCTTATAAATTAATAAGATCAATTAACATGATGCTGAGAAATAGAATAGCTAGAATGTTACAGTTAGTGGTAATCTGAGATGAAGATATTTTATCTGTGTAAGTTGATATCCTGTCAGTCACTCTCTTCAATGTGATCTTACATACTTTATTTAAAATAGATTTACTGTATTGCTCTGGAAATATTATCGATTATATTATTACTTCCATTCAAGTAATCAGTTATGTGCTTACATGGATGATATTTACCTGATTTTGAAGAATATTTCATCACTTTATCAGTCTTTTAGCATTATGAATATTGAAAATAAAACAATAGACCTCAATAGAAATTGGTTGAGATATGTTTTAATAAAACAATATATTTATACAATTGTATTAATCTTAGATATGGCTGAGATAAATCTCCCTGCTTGTGAACCTTTACTTTCTCAATTTGCTTTACGGCAAGTCTGGGTAATGGTTGATGCAGATGACGATCGGCTTTCTACTGCTTATTGGCTCTCCCCTCCAAACATGCATGACGTTGAAACACCTGATGCAGAACAGGTTTGTTTATACTAAACATAATTTCAATATAAATATATATATATATATTTTTTTATGTATCAATCTAAGCGAGGAAGGAAAGAAAGTACAAAAAAAAAGTATAATGATCTCTATAAATATATAAATTTATATATAATATATATATCTTTCTCTCGCTCTATATATATATATATATATATATATATATATATATATATAACTCTCTTTATATATATATATATAACTCTCTTTATATATATATATATAAAAAGAGAGTTTTAGAGCTTGAAGGTGCTCAGTGGGTAGGGCACTGACTTCCAAAGGTCAAGGTTGCAGTTTTTTTAATCTGGTTAATGGGAGGTAATTATTTATTCTGGTTAAGCAGATGTCGATCGACCCTGGAGTCAGAAGACACTCCTGTGGCAAACCCAGGCTCTATAAAGTTGGTACTGTTAATTATTTAAGGGGAAAAATCTGACCAAACAGTACTTCCTTCCATAGTACTGAACCTAACACCCTTCATGGGTTGTAGAGGTACAGGTTTTTTTTTATATATCAAAACGATCATGTAGTCATAAAATTTGTATTTGTTCTTTTTTGTTCTAATTTAATTTATTTTTATTCAACAGATAAATATAGACTTGGTAGAGATTTCAAAATCTGAAATTCCTGATCTTTCATTACCTGATGCAGTTGGTAGACTTTCTCAAGCTTGCCCAACACCTGGAGAAATACCTACTGTCAGAGAAACAAAAAAAAGAAGTGTTGAAAATGCTGGAACCAAGAGACCATTTGGTAAGTTCCAGTTGGTTGGAATTAAGTGTATTTTCCATAGCATATTTTTTTTCTTCTAAATAATGTTTAAAATTGCTTTAATAGGACTACTTTACCATACCTTTTTCTATGCATTATATTTAGAATTATTTTAATTCTTAGGAAGTATGAATTTCAGTATTTATTATTGTGAGGAATGGGAAATCCTTCCTCATCATAACCCATGTAGTTTTATTCTACTTTTTGTAATTATAATCAGAATTTGCAGCTCATTGTCTTAATAGATAAAAAAATAAAAACATTATTGACAAAGATCAGTTTGAGTGTACAGGGTCAGGTTAGCAGAACTATTTAAATAAGCTAAAAATATAATTTTTTTAAATTTAAATTTTAGTTATCTTTAAGTTATTATTTTTCTGTTTAATTTATTTTTATGTACTATACATAGAGTGTGAATGTGATCTCTGAACACTATTATAAATGTCTTCTGAGACAAATTGTAATATTTCTCAATAAACAACTAATTTATCAGTTAAAACACATCTAAAACAAGTTACTATCATTACATTTAAAGTTAAATATTATTTATTAGTTGCTGTAATGCGCGGAAGAGGCTATCGGAGAGGTGGCACTGGAGGAGCTGGTGGAACTGGCTCCGGAGGAGGAGATGTTTTCAGATCTCGCCCTCCGAATACTTCCCGTCCTCCTTCATTGCATGTTGATGATTTTGTTGCTTTGGAAACGTGCGGCGCTCAACCAACTGGTCCAACAGGTTACAACAAAGCCTCTATGAGAGCTGCACAGGTAAACTATATTCTAAATAGTTATAATAGAATATTTTAAGAAGAGTTATAAATTATATTAGAATGTAAATATTAAAATTTACAATTTTAAATTAAGTTGATAACAACTTGGAAAATGGCTGCATTCTGCCCCACCAAATAAAGAATTCTTCATGAAAAATTATTTTAAAAAACAATTAGTTCAGATATATGGATCTTGGGATGGAGTGGCCGAGCGGGCTAATGCCTATGCACAGCACCGGCTGTTGTCCGGTAACTTCATAACTAAAGTTCAGAAGATGAAATAAGTACGGGTTTTCATCTCGATGCCCTTTTAATTGGAAAACTTTTAAAAGGCAAGGAAGGAAAGAACAAAAAAAAAAGTACATTGATCTCTATAAATACAAGATTTTGGAGCTTGAAATTGTATTTAGTTATACTTTGATTAGAGAGAAGACATTTTTTTTATTTTCATTGCAATCGTTCTTAAGAGAGCTTTGTATAATGCTTCAAAAATACCATTATTTCTGGTCAGATTCTCTTTGTTCTTGTTGGCTTTTTGAGGGAGGGGATCGTGGAAAGGTTACAGCCTAATTAACTGCTGCACTAAATGACTTGAAAGTTTGCATTCATATATATTTTGCTATCTTTAATTGACTTTTGCTTAACTTATATGAATTCAAAGCTCTGAAGAAATTTTAGAAATAAAAAATCCATGTCGGCTTAGACAATTTTTATTCATGTTTTTTTTTTTCTTAAGACTTGTCAAAGCAAGTCCTATTTTGCCATTATATTACTATGCTTCTTTGATTGTTACTTGTTGAAATTAATGCTGAAACGCAAATATTTTATGTGAAATTTATAATGGTTATACTTAATCTTGAAATTCTTTGTTGGGTTAAAGTTAAAGTTTTGGGTATTAAGGTTGTCATCTCTAACTGTTTTCAATTTTCAAACCTTCTGCCGCTCGTGGTCAAATCTTCGATAGATCCCGGACTATATAGTGTTTTAAAAATATCTGTTTTTACTGCCTTGTTGAGCATATTAAAACTAGATTCTTAGGGCAATATCAGGATTGATTGTTGTGATATCTCATTCAGTATATCATTACAACCTGCCCTTAACCTTAATCGATTGCTAATCATATTTTACTTTCATAAGCTTATTACTTTAAGCATTTTGAAATTGTGAGCTATTTATAATAAAATTGATCTTTTCATGTTTATATCTTTTTACAATAGGATTTGATGGCGAGTCGAACGAGAGGTAGGGGAAGGACGTTTGGTGTAGAAAGAGGAGGTGGAAGATTTTTCGGTTCCCCAACAACTTATCATCGAGAAAGTTCTGGTAATCAATTTTAATAATTTTTTTTACCAACAATTTTAATTATTGTAAGTTATAGCTATACATTTTGAATAAAGTATCTATTTATTCTCTTATTTACCCTTAAATAAAAATAATTTATATTTTTTATTTAAATATCTCACTCATTTTTATACATAAGATGTACATACTGCTTATCATTAAATTATTTTAAAATAAATATTAACATGGAAGGTACTAATATATATATATATATATATTTTTTTTTCTTATAATTGTTATTTTGCCTTATTTCTTATATTTTAACTTTCTTATTTTTTATTTTTTTGAGGTATGCCAATCAATCTTTTTCGTTAATCCTGTAGACTCCAAAGTATTAAAAGACCAATTTCGTTAAAAAAAAAAAAAAAAATCTGATTAATTTGTAAAAGTAAATGTAAATAAATCTAATATTGGATAAAAAAAAAATTATTTCTTACAAAATTAGCCTTTGCTTTTGAGGTTTAAATTCATTTTTAAAAAATGAATGATTTATTTTTTAATAATCCTGTTTTGCTGACTCCCATAATTGTCATTTATATTGTAATATCATATTACTATTTATTGTTGCTTTTATAGGTGAAAGCATTTGGGGAGAAATGTACTCGGGTAGCAATATTACTAGCAGCGAAAGGAGAGGTGGTGGAGCCTGGCCAAAGGATTTGAGGGGTGTACGAACACGCAGCCTCAGATTTTTCTCCAGATAGATCAATCATTATTTTTCGATGGATCTATGTGTAAATTATGTAATCTAATATGTTTTATTGTATTCAGTACAAATATATTTTTATAGTTCCCAAGTTAATTACTCTTAATTATGTTATCATTTTAAATGATATATTTATTTTTCCAAGAAAATGAAGAATATTTGTGATACTGTCTTAGCCTATTAAAAATAGAAACGAATGGCTTGTAAATATTTTAAGTCATTAAATAGTTGATGAAAAAGTGTAAGAACTATTATAAAATATTTATCTGAACAATGGTATTTCAGTCACATCCCTGTTGAGTATGTTTTGTTCCAGTCAGTGTCGGACGTAATTCAAAATTTTATCTAGATATTGAATAATAGATATATTTTGATTGTTGACCCTTGATATAAACAGAAACATTAGTTATTCGTCATTGAAAATACGAATAAATTATTCATTATCTATTATTTAAGGTAAATTTTTCCCTATACTGGTTCCAATCAAAGATAAGGAGTTAGTAAGAATGTTATTATTCAACTTGCAGAGTTTTAGATTTGCAGTTCTCAATTTTTTTTTTGTCACTTCACCCTTGTCAAACTATACACCTTTTGCAGCACTTTTAATCTACTAGAGGCAACTCACTCTGACCAGCTTAAGAGTGGTGGCCCTATTCTGTTTTCCTTAAGGGGAATTAGTTATATGATTTTCCACAAGGGCCTAGAGATTTGGTTCATTTCAGGAAAAGAAATATAGGTCCTGACATCGCATCTGCTGACACTGAACAGCTATATATAATCCATGGATCTGGGTCAATTTGTCACTGTTCTTGAAGGAATTTGCCCAGTTGGCTCCGAAGTGGTTGCTTATGGATCTGTTGGTAGTCTGTTGCTGCAACATGGACACTATGGTTTGTAACAAAATGAGATTGAGTTCTTGCATTATAAACTTTTAGTTTTTTTTCTTCTATTACAGTAGGCCTTTTAAAAGTCTATTGCTAGCGTAGGTTACTTGGAAAGGTCTCATGTTACTGAAATTATGGTTCCATTCCATGATGCTTTATAGCCCAGGGATCTCCAAACTGCGGGCTGCATCTTCAATCCAGTCCATGAAAGACTGGTTAGAAGGAACCAAAATTTTAAAAACTAATTTAAAAAATATGAAATTTAGTAAACATGCAAACACGAGATTACTATAACACTTATTACATGAGTTGTTTCAACTATAAAGCTCATTGTACAACTGAGGTGTCATAAATAGAACAAGATTGTTTTTTTTTTCCACCACAAACCATGGTCCGCAGGAAGGAGGTATCAATTCGCCCTGCAGGATTTAAGAGGTCTCGATGCGGCCTGTGGACCAAAAAGTTTGGAGATCCCTGCTCTAGCCTATCTCTCTTACCTATTCTTCTAAGCAATGAGTTGCTTTCCTCTATTGCATAACTCTTCCTGGTGAAAACGAAAAATTAATCTAGATCCATCAAGGAAAAACTTTATTTTTCAAGTATTAAATGCTTGACTGATATTCAAATAACAAACACTCTTAATAAGTCATCAATTCTTAAGAAAAACAATAACAAGATTTTTAAAAATTATTCAATTTATTATTTACAATACAACTTTTAATATTCCTTTGAAAACGTCCATGGTTTGATCGTCAAGCAAAACTATATCGAATAAATCAAGGTATTGTGGCAGGTAATCATCAATCTGGAAAAAATATCAATACAAATAATTAGTTTAGCGTTTAAATAAACCTTTAAAAAAAAAAATTAGTCGAGGCCTAGGGCTCATATGCAGTTATATCAACCACAGATTTTTAGTTAAACTATTATACACGTAATTCTGAGAATAAAAATACATACATGTACACTTAAGAAGCCAATTTTAAGGATAGTACCGCCTTCAGGAACACCTTCAGCCATATTTGAATCGCCTAGTGAATCTCCCATCACTAGCACATTTGTTTTTTCTGATAGTGCCTAAATATAATAAAAATTATAATGCAGCCCAATATGAATATTTTGATAGGCTCATTTTAGAAAATAGCAAAAAGATACCTTGAAATAATCACAATTTTCAATAGCATGCTGATTTTTATTATAAACATTCATTGGTTGTCCTTCAAATTCTACAATAGTTCCATCAACAACCTGAAAATAAAAACAGTTTGTGACCTTTATATATCCTATAATATAACAACATGTATTACAATTGGAGAAATAATAACAAATAAAATAAATTTCAGATTATCAAAGAAAAGATTTAAAACAGAAAAACTAATGAATTCTTATTAAAAAAAAAATCTGGTGCGTGCAACACACAACTTTCACTTATCGCTCTACTTTGAATAGAAATTATTTTCTGGCTAAGTTAGGCTATTATAAAATTTTTGAAGTGCATTTTTAATGCAGCTACTGCTTAAAGCTAACAAATTATGACCATTATAATAACAAAACCCCTAATCATAGGCAATAAAAACCTCGTTACTCCATCTGTTTTGGTAAACCACATAACTCCCGCCTCTGAGCTATACAACTACGTACATGCCTGGAGAGATTTGAAAATGTATCTGTATATTAAACCAATAAATGATTACGGATTGTACACCTATTAGTTATTAAATGTTATTTTCCATTGTAAAGTTTACTAAAATGAAATTATGAGATTTTCATTGCCTGACATATATAGGTCAAAAGTTGTCACAAAGGGAAAATTTATCAAATTATTCACTAATTTAATTTTCTAAAAGATTACTTGGCAATGTTTTGTTTCAAAATGGCAGCCAAAAAACATGTGTTTAGTATAGATCAGGAGTCTCCAAACTACGGCCTGCAAACACCTTCAATCTGGCCTGAGAAAGTTTATATGATAAGATTATAAAATTTGAAATTTAGCAAATTACTCAAACTGTAGGCTGTAACACTTTAATGAAACTTGGCTAAAGTCTTCTCCTTAAAGCCCTTTAAATTTATGTATAGAGCATATTCTTCTTCATTGTTCATTGTACCCATGGGTATTAGAAAGTGTCCTGAATTCTCAACAAAATGACAAAAATAAAATAAGAATTGAAAAGAATGATGTCTGATAAGATGTTTTCATAGACATTTTTTTTTTTACTCTTTAATTTGGTTTATATTTTTTAGGAGAGCTCTATTATAAAAAAAAAAAAAAATTTGGCAAATAGCTATAGTATGAACATAATGTTGAAATGAAACAATTTGTATTGACCAAAGGAGTGAAGTAGGTTTAAACATTTTTTTAAAGAGAAACAAAGTTGAGATTTGTTTATCACACCTGGAGAAACAGTCAAATACGAATTTCCATAACAATAAAAAATAAATATATTTTACCTAAAATTTCATCTAGGCCCCAGCCTTTGATTTTATTTTGGAAATCACAAAGTGTGCGATAACTTCAACATGACTCCACCTATCCACAAAAAAATTAGCAGGAATTCAGGGCCACATAAACTACAAAAAATGGCGCAAATCAGATCCTCATATTAGAACTAGAGATATATAAAAATCTAATGCGCACATCCCACTTTCACTTACCAACTTTATTTTAGTAGAAAAAGGTATTTTCACACAACGGGAAGGAAAAGTACAGACGGTACAAAATATTTTTTGAAACGATCAATAACTATATGTTTTTAACAGCCATCTAATTTATTATACTTATGTTTTTTTTTTTATTAACTATTGCCTTTAACGATTGTATATTTTAATTAATCAAGTGCCATGGAATATTTTTAGACTGACATGAGTGCCACTGATAATTAAGGCCACTATACTTATATGAATTTCATTGCAGGTATTTTTAATTGTTTAAGCATTGGTTATATAAATATTCTATAAATAAATATTGGTATATATAAATATTTTAATTTTAATATTGCAGTAATCTACACAATTAAATATTAATTAATATCAATGCTAACATTTATGAAAACTGAAGATGCATATGTATAGAATATTATGGGAATCCGCATTATATTAGATACGAGTTACGTATGAAAGCCTATTCTAACCTTTTGGGATTCTTTGGCTCTCTATTATTTTAGGTTACTTCTCCTTTAATTAATTATCGAATTCTTTCATATTTTATATGTAACCATTTTTTATATTAGGTTAGAATATGAAATGGTTAATTATTTCAAATAAAAAAATTACTGCCAAGTAAGGTCAATATAGCTTCCTCACCGTTTTCATTAGCTACGAAATATTTTTATTACAAGATCTAAATTTTTTCTTATGAGAATAAAATCTCTGGGAGAAGCAATTTTTGGAAATTCAGCAATCCCTCAACCTATATGTGTTTGAATATTAAGTTTATTTTTTTAGCAAATACTAAAATGTGAAAGAGTTCCACATTTGCAGATTGCATATTTGATAATTTGTGATTAAAACAAAAAATTGCAGAGCATACTGAACACGTTTATCAGTCTGTTAGTACAAAAGGTTGTATGTAAAAATTGAGTGTTTTACAGAAGAGCATAAAAACTAATAATTCCTTTATCAGTAATGATTTATTAGTATAATTTCATATTTTATTGCCCTTTAATATTTTCCATTGTAGATGACTACTTATATCAGTTACAGGCTACAAAATGTCAAATATAAAATTAAATTGAAAATTTGTACATACCAACTTCTGCACTAACAGTAGTTATATATATTTAATAGGTATTTTTTCACACATAAAATGGATGGAACAAAAAATCCATAGAAATAATTCAACTTTTTGTTTTTTCGGAGTTAACAAGACTAATACTTTTCACCAGTCAGAACAAAACTAATTTAAGCTGGAATATAAAAATATAAGTGAAGTTCTCACAACTTTGATGTTTAAGGATGAGATCGAGAGTTTAAGGACGACCAGCTGGTTGAACTTCAATAGAAATAAACACAATCATAAATACGATTACTTTGTTTTTGCAAACTTAGGAGCAAGAATTAATTTAAATTTATTGAAAATCACACGAAATCTAAATAATGGCAGTAAGTATCATACTAGTAACATTTGGAAGCGACCAAACATTACAGTATAAATTAACTTTTTGAATAAAAGCTTATTAAATTTTATAACCTCATAAAAATATGGTAATAACCTAACCCCTTACACATGATCAATGCCTTTTACAACATTTCACAGCCATTATACTGTTAACAATTATTTATATTAATTTTAATTATTAAATAGAATTCAATGAAATTCATACTTTACAATTTCTATAATGTTCTCCGAATTTCCTCCAAATTTGAGCCAAATCGAACATACAGTTTTAGAGTATGAAGGAAAACACATTTGTGCATATATGAGAAAAAGTAGAGGACAGATTTCAATAAAATTAATACTGCGTTATTTTTTTATTAATACCTATCCTTTTTCTAACTTTGAGCCAAATGAAACAAGCTATTTTTTAAATATTAGCATATTTAAAAAAAACAAATACGTTTGCGTGTGCTTAAGCGTGGAATTTGATGAAATTGATATGGGACCATCTAGGCACCGACCCACACAATCCCTGAAAATTGAATAAACAGCAGTAGGTTATATGCCCATTACACTGATTTGACTACAGACAGACAGATAACAAATCAAATGTGATCCTTGATTTCTGAAACATAAAACGCGAGTGGAAATTTTCGATTCTGAGCATACAATTTTTAAAACCTCTCGCACAAACACAATGCTTTCCTATCTTCGGTGTGAGGAAGCAAAATTAATGGTACTTTAGAGATAGAAATTTTTAAATTAGGCATTTAATGGAAGACATTTTGGAAATTAGGCATTTAAGCTCTATTAGATAATATCAATGAAAACAAGACCTGCATTATATTAAAAACCATTTAAATTTACACTGATATAATGAATTTAATCAGAATCATTGGAGCTGTTTTTGAGAAAATCATAAAAATGATTAAAATCGATGATATAAAGTGGCACTTCCAGTTAGCCAATTTTGACAAAAAAGTTGCAGTAACATCCCAGCCATATACAAACCTTACATATGCAGTTTCGGTTAAGTACAACTTTTCGTTTTTGAGCTAAACAAACCTAGGTTCACACACACACACACACGTGCGAACAGACCATTTTTGAGAACTTGTTTATTTGGAATCAGGGGACCTCAAAACATATATTTTCGTTGAAAATCAGATTCGAAAATTTTCACGATCATAATACTTTCCCTCACTACATATTACATATATAGGTAAATGAAAGTAATAAAAACGTGCGGGTTTTTTTTAATTTACAACTTTTGAAAGCTTACACAAATAGTACTGCACTGTTTTGTATTGTAATTACAAATTAAAGTATGGGTAAATAGTAGTATAAGAACAGAAAAAAAAAAAAATGCCGGTAACATGCGAATTCATATGTGTTCCTTAAATTTTTAATAATGATTAGGTTGAATTTTGATCATTGGTTGAATCTAGTAAAAAATATAAAAGCATTCACTAAGTATAATTATTAATATATAAAATATAATTAATAAATTATTGAGTATAATCACTAACTTTGACCAAAACATTCTGGATTTATAATACAAGGTCAACTATATGAAACCATTAACTATCAAAATATTAAAATAATACTAACTTTAAAGTTGAATACAATAAACAGAACTACCCTGTTGCTAACAGTGCCACTCGGTTTTAGGATTCAAATATAGAACAGAGAAATGAAAAAAAGATAAATAGTATCAAATTTGAAATTACTCACATTTTGTCGTTATAGATTTATTTCTGGAGGCCATAACTGTTTTGTTTGTTCCAGTATTGCATGAAAGCGTTCTTTTTCGCATATCTCATGGGCCACATACATTCTCCCGACCAAAAAGGATTGAAAATGATGATGTGCAGTACTTCGATGATAAATATTTCTCTATTTTGCTTCACTTCTAGGCAAATCCCATAGTTTAATTTTGACAAAGTTATAATTTAAATAATAAAATTTAAACAAAAACAAACAAGAAAATACTAGGGAATAATAAATAGACGCGAAGAACATTACCAAAGAAACATATTATCTTGATTTACATTAAAAGTCTCAAAAAAATTGAGTATAGAAAGTTGATGTGGCACTGTTAAAAACAGAACAGTACCCAATTGCTTTCAAATAACAATGAGGAGAACAATGGGTGAATATTAATCTGACTGACCCAGACCAACATCACTGCATTTGTATGTAACAGGATCTTGAATTATGACATCTATTGATGGATTTCCATTGACTTCTTTAGCAATATGACAACAAAAGAAACAAAAACCAAATAGAAAATACTACATTTTAGTTTGTTATTATTTTTTTTCCAGAACGTTCAATCATTTCCTCGGTACTTCTTGATATTTAACCAGCTCTCTACATTCATTTATACATTTCACCCAAAAGATACAGAAATAAAATCTAGACAAATCTTATCAATTTAATATTTCTCTGTAGGATAAATTATTTAAATTCCTTTGGAAATAAATAAACAATGTACTTTGAAGTCTATACAATACTTCACTCCTGAATAATTTTAACTTCTAAAACCCTTTCTAACAGTCATTGGTAGAAGTTATTCACGGCTTTCTTTTTAATCCAGTTTGAAAAGTTGGAATAACCCAGAAAGATACATAAATTTTATCACTACTTAGCAATAAAATAATTTTATACAGTTAGGGTCATCATGATTAATCAGACAAGTGTATGTTTGCTGTCACAGGGAATAAGGCAGAATGACAACTTAGCAGGGTATTACTTTTTAATTTCTAATTCATTATGTAAACCCTGGTTGTGTGAGAAATATTTTGTTTTTTGGAAAAAGGACAATTAATTCCTCCTAAATTCAAGGATTAGAAGGAAAGAATTTTTATGACGTGGAGGATAATCATGGATCAGCTTAAAACTGATTAAAAGCCAAATTTATTTCCTTACTACTACCAATTACGAGAAATATCTTACTTTAAGACAGTACCACAAAATTAATTTTGACCTTTCACTATGTTTAGAACTTAGTGACAACCTGTCAATAGCCATTAGGGTAGCAAATAAGATTAACAATGTGTTAACAAATAGAGGCTCACTTATCTAGCTGATTCCCATCAATAATAATAATAAGAAAGGAGATGGTCCGGGGTAGCAGTCATAAATAGACTAAATAGTGGCAAAACTATTTTATTAAAAGCCAACATTTCGACCCGACTTTGCAGGTCTTCTTCAGGGCTAGAACGGACAAGATACAAAAAGATGTAGAGAATTGTGGAAGTTACATAATATTTAGACAAGAATTATAAACAATGTGAATAAACTTATTAATATTATAAACATTTAAATATAATTAGAGTAAGCTAAGTAACAAGACCCTAAACTGAAGTAAATCGTGAATTTACTTTCTGCAAAGTCGTGTCGAAACATTGGATTTTAATAAAATAGTTTTGCCACTATTTAGCCTATTTATGACTGCCACCCCAGACCATCTTCCTTAATCATGCAAGTGTCAACTATTAAATATTCAATAATAATAATAATAAAACCAGCCATGGAAACTCAATTAATTTTTGTCTTACTACCAACTTATCACTGATACCCACAATTAATGTAGAAACTATATTTATTGTAATTAAAATACATTTACAACAATTTATATTAGAAAAATATTAACCTTAAAAAAGTTGGATATTACTTTCACATTGTCATACAAAATATCATAATGCTTAAGGATTGCTGTAACAACATGTCCAAGTCCAGCAGAAAAAACAAGAACAGGAATTCCTTTTTCATTGAGGATTTTAAAACATTCTTCAGCATGATTCCTAAAAACATATATTTATAATTAAAACAAATAAATTATACATAACAAGTATACAAACTTAATTTGTTTGTTAGGTAACAATTCATGAGGATAATACAGCTATTGAGCAAATAAAAGATGGTGATTTATTGAAATAAAGACAATTAAGAAAATTGGGTACTTGCATGTGGGGAAAAATGCATAAAATTTGAGCTGCAGTAGAATTTAAATTATAAGGAATGTAAATAAGATTGAGATAGAATTTTTAAATAATAGAAAAAATTTCTTATTTAGCTAAAGTTAGAAATAACATTTTGTCTGGGGCTGTAGTAGGGACTAGAGAAGAGAGAGTCCACCATAGTGTGACGTATACGCCAGCCAAACATTACATTGCCTGTCCAATCTCTCTTAAGATTATTGATTGAAACTTCTTAAATTTTTTTCAAGAACAAGAGTTTTCTTTTATTTAAGTTATTTATTTAACTAGTCTTGCTACATGAACTATTATTTAAAAAAATAAAAGAATATGTGAACATGGATATATGTGTATTAAATTTTTCTCTCAGTAAGTATGAAATAATTTAAAGAAAGGATTTACACAAGTAGGTTATCAGAAAACATGAAGCATGAAACTGTATCGTCTAAGTTAAATTGACCAAAAATAGTTAAGTATTTAGACAAGTGGCCAAAATATTTTCTTGATTTTAAAAATTCTTAATTTTGCAAAATTAATTAACACACCATGTAGTACAGAAAAGTGAATACATTTTGAGTTTTAACCACAAAAATGTTTTCTTGTATTTGTTCAGTATTACTTCACTGGTATCACTTACAGTATTACAGGGTAACAGGATCACATCAATCACATTGTAGTTGCCAAACCAAAAATGGCTGTATGTCTGAAAGTAGATGGAGGAACCCGACCTCTTTGTTTAGACCATGATCTAAACTCTAAAGAACCCCAGGGTCCATTGGAGGAAGAGCTCATCTATCCTTTAAGGGTTGAGCTAATTAAAGTAAGGCTATACCCATGAACATTGTCAATGTCCAGCCATTTTGAAGATTCCTTCTACACTTATAATAGTATATACCATGGGCAAGGAAGGTGTGACCTCTGATATTACGTGTCATAAATGTCATATCTTGTAATGACCACTATATTATATTTTATTATTATTACAATATTAAAATCAAAATTTAGATCTATTCTTAAGTAAACAGAAATACCCACAGTGAAATATAAATTAAAAAAACACTACCAAAAAGAGGTATCTAAAACTTTACCTTAACTTAACTCCAGAATCTACAACAGCTTGAGCAATTTTTTCTGGCTCATAGGGAAGACCAATAAAAAGTTTTTCATTCAAACTCCACCACTCTTCCATGTAAGGAATTTTATCAGCAATGGACATGTTAGGGTCATCTTCGATAACCCTAAATCTATTGTATAGGTTTTGAGCTCCCTCAGTGAATTCCGATGGAAGGGTTGGAATTTGTTCAAACACACCTAGTTTAGAAAACAGAACAAATAAGTGTAGTATATGAATCAACTGTAGAAATTGGTCAAATGTAAAATCATTTATATTTCCAGTAGTACACACTTACAATAACTACTTAAAGTAGGTTTTCCATTGTCATGATGTTTGCTAACAGTTCTGTCAAAATCAGTAATAATTTGCAATTTATTACTACCTGCTTCTTTAATTTTTTTAATTTTACTTATCACTAATTCCTTATCTTTCATTCTGACCTTTTCCCCATTGAGACCAGCAGCCTACTCGCAAAAAAAGAAATTAGTCATGTTCAAATTGCAAATTAATCACACAATAACACAGAAAATAAACCATACATTTACTATTTCGTCATCATTCATGGACATTTTAAAATTATATGAATATGAGAAGGAAACTACTTAAATTGTATCGATATTAAAAATTAATACAAAACTACCTCCGTTACCGTAACTAACCGGTTATTGAACTGAGTTAAATCTATGTGAATATCGCATCATTGCCAACATCACCTACTATTTTCCCATATTATTTTTGCAACAATGATCCATTAACAGTTTTATCGCAGTTTGGTATGAATATTTATTGTTTATAGAATTGCAAAGGGAATAAATTAAATCAATATAATAAACATTTGTATTAAAATGAGCTTTTTAACTTACTTTTCTATTAAAAAAAAAAGCATTTATCATTAGTATAACGTCTTTATTATTTTATTAATTAGAATTGCTCTTGATGCTATAATTAAAATATCGAAATATTTATAATGAATAACATAATTAACAAAACTATGATGTTAATTATTGCATATCAGCCAAAATTTACACATTCCATTTTGTTCTGTGGAATATAATTCATTTTGTTTCTTATTATAATAATGAGGATAACTAAAAGTAAATGGTCTTTTGATGTTTTTAACAGGAATATCAGAAGGGAATATTCAAATTGTAAAATATTAGCTAGTTTTATATACCTATTTGTAAATGAAAATATTTAATCCGCCTTTAATTGTTTGATAACTTATCAAATCTCGCAGATTTGAAATAGGATGATGTCCGAGTTGAAAGTTATACATGTTAATTTTTAGTTTCTAAACTTATAATGTGCTAAAAAAATTAAGTAATGTGTCTAGATTAATATTTAAATTACAATGTATGGATATTCTATCAATTTTATTTAAATTAACTACATAATTTTGGAATGCCGGGAATATTGATGGGAAGAGTTGTAAGTACTGTGGAAGCTTTTTATTATGTTTACCAATTGATGTTGCTACGGTCGGGGCTCCAACATTTGTAGTGATGATTAATGTATGAAATTATATTTTCGTGGAATATGATGATGTAATTCTATATTAATGGTAAACAGATGATAGTTTTTCTGCATAAACTACTCCTATATCTTTCTGTTTTTATATTTATGTACTTAACTATTTTCTTATTTAATATTTTGCTACAAATATTGAAAACAACTTTGTGAATTAGGTGTGGACGAATAAAAGTATCATTTATATGATTTTCATGTTTTTTTAAATGAAGGATAAATGTCAGTATACTTGTGTTAGATATATAACTAACCAAGTTATGCTTATTCCAGTGTATTTTTGTTGTAAAATATATTCTGTAAGTTGTGTAAAGTGTTCAGCTAGTTCATATTCATAATTGACTGTTTTAATAATATGTAACTATATGGACAATACCAGTACCATTAAGGCTGAATTTTATAAAATTATTTAAAGTGTTTAATTAGACCATCATGAAAGTAATTCTATAAACATGAGATATACAGTTCTGATTTGCATAATTTATGTATTGACAGTCAAATATTGTATTAGGGTAATTAATAAATAAATTACTCCAATTAATCATCTTTACCTTCAAATATAGTACCTAAATTCTTAAAAGTGATAGTCTAACATTTAGGTGGAAAATAATTAAATACATACATAATCTAAAATTGGACCATCATATTTAGTTAAAAGTTACACCATTTTCTAATTTTATTGCTTTTGGAAGTAAAATAATAAACACTTTTTGGAATTTGACATAATATTTCAGTGATGTATGTTCATTGTCATTGTGTTTAATGTAAAATCTTGTATTGGTTATTTATTTGTTTCACATGTTTCTGATATTGTGTTCAAGAGTAGGGTAGGATAGGGGTTTTAGGGCGATAAATTACAAGATTCAATTGAATTGTATTCAATGTTTGAACTTTTCATAATTATTAATTGGATTCCTAATTTGACCAAAATCCTCACTGTTCATAAAGCACTACCTAATGCATTGGTAATTTATTTTGGAAACAATTTTATGTTGAACATATTTAGAGATATGCCAGCTATTCCTGAGAATTATTGATATTTCTTTAATCCAATTTATTAATACAAGTTCTAAGATATTAATGTTAGTAAGAGGGGTTCAAATAAAGTGGCAAATGTCAGCCTTTCTCTTAGCCTAAGAATCGTCTTGAGTTGAAGACAATTTTTTTTTTATACCAAATTTATACGTAAAAAATTTCTTTTAAAACTCTTGAATAATTTGAATTTTGATTCAATGTTTTTTAAAACCATTTATACATTATGAATTTTTGAAGTATTCTTATTACTTCCTTGGTATATTTGATTTACTTAGAAGTTAATTAACTTAACGTAAGCTTCTTATTAAGTGTTTCAAACTATTTTAAGTAAACAAAAAATTAAATAATGTAAACTATTTATTGAAACTTAAGATTTTCATCAGAACTTTGTGACAGGAGAGTAGTGATGAACTGTCCTAGTATCAAAAAGGTTTGACAAATCCAACTTATGATAATAGCATGTGTGAGGGAGTGCATATCCATTTAACAATGTTCATCGCAGTTTGTGAATATATTGCGAAGGACGCAGTATAAATAACATCTCAATTACACTTCGATACAATCTACCTGAAAGTTGTCCCATATGCTCACACTTTCTTGACACTGTGGTCCAATGGTAGTCCAACCAAATTTTCAGGAAAACAAGATTGTTGGATTGGTTGTCCTATGGGCAGTTTTCACCCTGGTGAAGATAGGACTAGGGCTGCCCTAGTTATCAAAAGTAAAAACTTCAATGCTATGAATCTCCACCAGTATTCGATTTTCTTTCTATGAACAATCCGCGAATTTTGAGAGATTTTTTTCGAAAAAGACTTCTTCCTGAGGTATTATTGTGAAACGAAAAAATATGATAATAATAAAAGACTTAGCGAACCTGAAGGTTCGATGCGGACACCACATTCTTTCGTTACTGAGCTCCGTACTTTTACACAACCATTTTATTCACCATAATGCAATTACTTCAATTTTATTAACCGGATACAGTTAACGCAATTCGCCATTGTGTAACCGTCTAAATTCTTCGATTGATTCATCGTTTTTTGGTCCGAATATTCTACCCAATACTTTATTTCACAAATCTTCAGGCATTGCTCATCCCTGAATGTAAGCTTCCACGTTTCGCATCCACTAAGAACGTAGGTAGGATAATGATTTTGTAAATTCTAATTCTAATGCAAGGAAATCGATCATAAACTTCACTCCGATAAACGAAAGGCTAAAAGTCTAGTCGTCATGGACAACTAGTAGTAGTACAATGCTCCTACACAAGGATATCCACAAGTACACCTGGATTAGCCCTAAAGGAGCTAAAAACCAAATTGACCATGTACTGGTAGACAAGAGACATCAGAGCTCAGTACAAGATGAAGAAAGCTATCCTGGAGCAGACTGTGATTCGGATCACTCTCTGATTAGAATTAAACTATGTCAGAGATTGAAGCAAATTCACACGATCGAGTGGAAAGAAGGAGGTATGAAATCCATAACTTGAAAAATCCTGAAGTAAAAACCAAATTTCAACTTGAGCTGAAAAATAAATTCGAATCCTTGGATTCGGATAGCCTCACAGTGGACCAACACTGGAAGAAAATAGAGAAAGGACTAAAAGAAAACGCTAAGGAAGTGATCGGTATTTAGGAGAAACGAAAAGTTAAGATATGGTTCATAGAAGCATGTGAAAAGGCAGTAGATAAAAGATGAAAAATGAGAGTCCTCTGCTTAACTACAACTGTTCAAGTTGCTCAGAACAAGCGCACAGCTGCCAAGAAAAGGGCAAACAAAAATATATGATCCGCAAAAAGGGAATTCCTCAAAGATGGCGTTCTGACAGCATCTAAAGAAAATATACTGAATATCTGGAAAGACTATTTCCAGGAACTTCTTAATCAAGGGGATCCGACGAACGAAGAAGGACCACACTGAGGACCTTGACCCAGAAGAGGTTGAAGTACCAGATATATCGGATGTAGAAATAGCTATCGAAAGGCCACAGGAATAGACAACCTACCATCAGAATTGTTCAAAGATGGAGGAGATGACTTTAGAGCTAAGCTACTACAACTAATCCAGAAAATATGGGAAGAGGAAAGGATACCTGACGCTTGGAATATGGGCCTAATCTGTCCTATCCTATTGAAAGGCTCCATGCATGAGTGTAGTTATTACAAAGGAATAGCACTCCTTCCGGTTCTCTACAAGATTATGACCAATATCCTACTAAACCGGATATATCCGTATTACGAGAATATAATAGGCGACCACCAAGCTGGATTCAGGAAAGGGAGAAGCACGCTAGACCAGATCTTTATCCTAAAAGAAGTAATCGAAAAACGATGAAAAGTAGCTCAGGACGTCCACGTCCTATGTTCGATTTCAAAGCAGCCTATGGTTCTGTATACAGGAACTGTCTTTGGAAAATTATGACTGAACTGAGAATTCCCGGTAAGTTGGTGAGATTGACAAAGACGTGTACAAATGACCCCAAATGTAGAATCCTAATACAAGGCCTTCAAAGTTCCAAAGGGCTTACGGCAGGGAGATGGACTATCACCCATGCTTTACTTTACTATCTTATCTTCAACCATTCAAAGGCTAGAGCAATCATAATTCAATGATTAAACTCCGAAACTATGCAGAATAACTTACTTTTCGAAAATTTCGTTACTACACAGATCTCAATCTGTATATAAGACATTGTATTGTTTAAGCCAACGTATATACACGCATGTTGTCTTTGTATAGTTTTGGAGTTTAATCATTAAGTTATACTTGCTCTAGCCTTTAATTACCGATAATAACTATATTTAATGTTTTAGTCAAGCATATCCATACTAGATTTACTATTTTTTTTTTAAATCCCCTGCTCAATTAGAAAATTGAGCAGCTTTTGGTGGTCAATACAATTGTAAGCCTTTTTGAAATCGACATACAGCTGGTGAACGATACATATATACTCTGTTTACTATCTCGTATATTTGCCGTAAAGAAAATATTTAATTAATAGTTGAACGGTTCTGTCTAAATCCGTATTGATAGTCTCCGATAATTTCCTCTTCGTATTCTGTGATTCGATTAGTAAGGATAAATGTGAATATTTTACAACATACCGGAAGTTGTGAGATTACTCGATAATTATTACAATCCGTTCTCGAGTCCTTTCTTTCAATCGGAATAAGAATAGGTTCTTTCTATTCTTCAGACAATTTCTCATTACCCCGGATTTTTTAACCAATAAATGTGTTTTAGCAACTTCAGGTTTGCCGCATGCCTTAATTAGTTCACTACTTTATATAATTTT